CCAAGGGAATTATGGAAAGGGGGTACTTAGGAAAAGGGGGAGGTAAATTAGGGAGACCTTAATGGGGGTTCTGAAATAATCCTCATTTAGGAAAAGGGGTTGACCTGACCAGAAGAACCGGTTGGTACTCTTTCATGAAAATAGGGGTCGGGTGCTGGAAACAAGATGGCGCGATGGTTGTCTCCCCCGACTTATACCAGCAGTCCAGAGATGCCAGTAGACGTAAAGGATGGGGTGTCGGTCGTCCTCCCGGAAGATGGGGCGTGGACGGACCTTGAACCAGCATATCAAACCGTAATGCTGGAAGAGGAGGACGCGTTCCTATGGATAGAGACGGCATGGGCTAATGTTAGCTTGACAAGGTTGTCGCCAAGTTTAATGGATTTAGAGTTCCGGGGAACAGTGGAAGCTCCAGGGTGGGTCTACTTGTCACAAGATGGGGAGAATGCTATGGTTGTAGCGGAAGTTGTGTGGGCCGCGTGTCAGCGAAGGAGATGAAAATGGAAAGGGTAGATGTGCGGGTGGAACTTGGGGATAGAGGAAGCATGAGGCGACTCGTTTGAACCATGCGATGCGTGCTGCCTCCCTTCCTAGTGGATGTGGTGTTCGGAACCCGGAGCAGACTAGTAAGGATATGTCAGTCCATGACGAACCTTGGACTATACCAATGCGCTAGGCAGAATTTCTTTCGGTTGTCAGTAGAAATGGGGACGTTTGAGGGGAACTGGGCGGACGAACTGGGTGAGATACTAAGCTTCCTTAGCTTAGACAATATCTATGTCTCTAGCCCTGTACATTGGGGGATAGTGTATAGAAATGTAGCAATAGGGGAGACATTTCTGGAGGGGGTGAAAGAGTTGTTCTACGACGAAGAGGACGACTTCAGTGATGAGGACGAGGATAAGGAGATAGAAGATTGGGACTTCTAAGAAGGGGGACTTGACCTTGGAAAAAATGGGTGGCCTGGTATTATGCAGGAAAGGGAGAGGATGACTAGAGAAGAAATGATGATGGAATACACCTTCAAGGGATGGGAACCAAGACAACTCAGAGGGGGGGTAGAGATGCCTTTACCAACGAAAAACGAATGGAGAGGGACCACGTGCGACTGGGTTGGGTTTGAGGTTGCCCGGGAATTATCGTATGTATGGATAGAACGGATTTGGAACCCGATAAGGGAAGAGGAAGGTTGGGACGAGTTAGCAGAGGGCAAAGTGGAGTCAGTTGGAACAATTGTCCTCTCCGAGGACGGGTGGCACCTGTTTTGCACTATGTTAGCAATGGGACAAGATCCAATGTGGCTTCTAGAGGATGCAGAGGCGCGAACCCGGAAGGAAGGCAAGAGGTTCGCCAATGAGGGGTGGGACGAAGTTAGTAGCAAAGTTGTGATGGGAGGGTGGAAAGAACTCAGGTCTCCCTGCCTGCGCATAACAGCTTGGGTGCACGAGTTCGTGGCCGACTGGTTCGGGGGTTTTGAGCACATAGCAGACGTAGCCGACTCCATGAGAAAAGTACACATAGAATGTGCCTGTCTGACCGAGGAATTCTATAGGTTCTCCTTAAAATATGGGTCCTTCTACGGGGATAAAGCCGGTGAGGTCATCACCATCCTGAGGATAGGAAAATACGACCGCCTAGAGGTAAGCGCGGAAGCTTGGGACGCCATAGTTAGCCGGAAGGCGGCGGCCGCGCCATCCTATGTGGACGATGTCTTTATGTTGTTTGAGGTACGGTGGTTTGATTAAAGGGGCTCAAAGTTCGAGCGCCACAGGAAGAACGGAGTATGGAGGGTGCATGTGAATTAGGGTGTAGCATAAGAAAGGGACATGTACATTAGTCAGCAGGGGACGCGAGGAGGCCGAAATAAGGGCAGGCATGGAGACGGGATAGTGCCGGGAACCAGTGTACGATAGGAAGGGGGTACTGAAAGACTAAAACACGGGAAACGTGGAATCTCGGTGGGTGCAGCAATCGGACTAAGGAAGCGAGAAAGGAGGCATTGCGAGATGGCCCGGCGAATGACGTTCTGGGGAGATAGGCCTCGCGGGATCCTACCACCAAGAGTATCAGGAGACAGGGTCGAAATAAGCTTGCCATCAAGGAACGTTGTGAGTAACCCGGTAATGGACTGGGTGGGGGTAGAGTTGGTGGAAGACACGGTGTATCTAGTAATAGAACTAGAGTGGCGTACGAGAGGTGAATTCGGGGGCATAAATTTGGATCTCCCAGGGTGAGTGCATGCGACGGGATCCTTACACGTGTCGGGAAGAAGGGTGGCGGACCTTTGGGATTGCCTTGGCCTCCGGGGATGACCTCGTGCGAATGTTCGAAGGGGCATTCCAAATAACCTGGCGGGAGGGGTTTGAGTTTGCAGATCCGGAACGAGATGATGTGACGGCTGAGGTAAAAGTCGCCGCGGCGGGGGGTTTTGAGCTGCCAAATGGGGTCGTACGGATGAGTCTACCACCCTTCATGCTGAGACGAATGGGAGGCATAGAACGAGTGGAGCAGGCAGTGACTACCGTAACTAGGCTAAATTTTGACGAAGCATTAATGTCTCGAGAATACTATCGGGCCTTCCTAGAGATGAGGCCTTTCGGGGACGAACAGGGGCGCGAGGTGCTTTGCATTCTACAAGCAGTGGTAAATACTAGGTCGGGAGTCCCCCAAAGAAGTGATGAGACTATGTGGAGAGTCATCCGGCGAGAGGTAGGTCGGGGCGCGACCTACATAGATGATCTCTACCGGTTGTACGAACAGCCAGAGGGGGCTACTGCTCCTAGGCATATGGAGGGATAGTTGGGACGAGAAAAGAGGAATGAAAACACGAAGGGCAAGGGAGGCAATAGGTGGACGGATTCTGAAGATTGGCTGTAACCCTTTCTATGTGGACTATGCAGGGAATTACCAAGGTAACAATGGCAGCAAGACGTGAGCGAGTGGAACGCCAGCCCCGTGTGTGAATGGAACGTCAGCCGCGGTACCTCGGACCGCCCTGGAATAACAGTGGACGATGGGAAGTATCCCTCCCGTCGAGTTCTACCTATCGGGGGTTCGACATAGAATGGCGGGCCGTGACTTTGGGAAGGGACGTCGCCTTCATGTTGGTAGAATGTCGGTGGACAGGGATGAGACTCGATCGAGGACCCGGAGACGATCTGTTTTCCAATCTGGAAGTTACCGGGACCATATATCTGCCTGAGATTGGCTGGGACTCGTTGGGGGTAGAGATAGCACAAGGTCACGAGCTGGCACCGGTCTTTCGAAGGGCCGCCCGAGCGTTGACCCAGATAGGACAATCAGTCAGGGGTAGAAGAAACGTGGGCTTACTTACCCGGATGGAAATGGGGGGATGGCGGGAATTCAAAGCACCAACCACACCGCTGAGGTGCCGGGTTCCCCGTTTTATGATAGACCTTGTCTTCGGACGCCTCGCAAGGGCGCGGGAGCTGGCAGACTCGGCAATAATGTGGGCAGACCACTTTCCCTCTCCGACCATCAGGATGTTCTATGATGTCGTTGTGGAACATGGGCCGTTATGGGGAAACAGGGCCCACGAATTACTAGAAGTCATCCATATCCTGATGTTTTGTGCATCTCGGCTAAGACTGGACGGGGTGCGAACGCATAATCCAAAGGGAAATCGAGATAGGGGAGAATTATCTAACGGGGGTGGCTCAACTATTTGAGGAGCCTACCGAACCGGAAGGGCCACGAGGGCGAAAACGAGACTAGCACCCGCAGGCGAGCCAGTAGGGCAAATCAAGTACAGTCCGCTACGTTCGAAGGCCCACCGACAGAAATAGGAAAGGGGGGGGGCTCGGACCCGGATGATCAATAACCGCCAAACAGGGAACACTGCGCAGGAAAACTTTTCCTAGCGGGTTGCCCAACCCGGACCCCTACACACCGACCAACGGAATAAGGGCGCTCTAAACGAGCCGGTGATAAGGGAAGCTAAGTCACGCCCTTAGCTCGGTGAGGCAGCAGAGTCGGACGCAGCTCCATATTAAGGAAGCCATCAGAAAATGGGAATGGGGAAAAGCCTAATTGCCAAGTAAAAGGATAAACCAACAGGACTGGAACCTAGGGAACCTAAATGCCTCGCACTGTGTTTGTTCTGGGGAATCCTTTGGTTATACAGAAGTAGGCAAGTATGGCAACGGAGGATGAGACAGGTAATCATGAAAGCGAGGGAGGACCAGGCTTAGGAGGCAATGCTGAGCAAAGCAAGGAAGGGCAGAAAGACAGGGAATCAACAAATCCGGATGGCACCAAAGGGGACCGGAAGGAAATGTCCTTGGGAGAGAGCTCGGGAAAAGCCGGGGGAAGCAGACAGGGGACTCAAGAAAACAAGGAGGGCAGGAATAAGGATAGGGCGAGCCCCGGGAACTCAGAGGGAGCTGTATCTAAGAAAGTAAGGGTCACGGACGCAAGGCGCAAACTAGCAGAGATAGAGAAAAGGACCGCGGAATACAAGGCCAGGTTAATGGAGGAAATGATGACTGGGAACGAGGAAGGCCCTCTGCAGGAGGTACCGTGGGACGAACGGAAAACCAGCCGGGGCGGAACTGGACAAGGGGACAAGGGTAGTGACCGTGGGGGAACACCTAGCAAAAGAACGAAAGAAAGGCGGAGAAGGCTACGAACCCCTTAGCCATAGACAGTAGGGCTAGTCGTCTGCCGACCTCGCGAACGGTATCGCGAGGATTCGAAGGGCTCTAGAGCCTCAGAGAAAGGGTGTTGGGATGGTTCGACCCGGAAGGAACGGCAAAGACTAGAGGGGGGCAGAAAGCCAGCAAGGAAGGGCCAGATACCAGCATGGCAGGCAAGGCCCGTAACTCCGAAGGTGGCCTTAGGAAGATAGTATCATCCCTTGCACGAGCACTGAACAAGAACCAAGGCTATCTAGCAGACGCCAAGAAAAAGCTGACTTTCGATGGAGCAAACATCACGGAGTTCCTGATCGACTACGAGAACCTAGTTGCGTTACTAAAGTAGACCGAGGAGGAAGAAATTGACCATCTAGGACAGCATGTGTCGTTAAGCCTAGGACGAGACATAATGGTCATTGTAGCCGCAAGCCGGTCTTGGAAGAAGACCTGGGATGTGATGATGAGGAAGTACCTAGCGGCAGAGAAAATGGCAACGGAGGCCGACCTAGCGGCAGTGAAAATGGCAACAGAGGCCGACCTAGCGGCAGTTGAGAGGAAGAACTTCGCAACGTACAATGATTTCTTACGGGAATTTACTCTAGTAGCACTAAGGATTCCCGGGGTCACGGACCGGATAATGAGCAAATATTTCCTCAGGCAGTTCTCCGAGTTCGACAAAGACGAGATCCTCTCAGCTCACCAACAGACGAGCAAGTTCGTAAACACGCGGGATGTTGATTTTAACACGGTAACGGATCTGGCTAAGAAAACGGTAGTAACGAAAACGTTGGCCTTGCTCAACGAAGGGGAAATCATAGATCTGACCGGTAGAACGGGCGACAAGGTAAAGAAGGGGATTGAAAGTCTACATGAGCGGGTGCACGGGGTCGACAATAAAATTGAAAGGATGGAGGGCGCGCTACTGGTTATGCAGGCGCAAGTATCCCGACCCGCCCTCCCTCCCCAGGAAGCTGTGCTTCCGCCAGGTGTAGCCGATCGGGGATTCGGACGGAGAGATCCTGCTAACGAGAAATGCAAGTACTGTACCGCGATGGGACATTATGTGCGCGCGTTCCCAAAGCTCAACCATGATATTCTGAAAAGAAGGTGTACCAGGTCATTAAAGGGGGAAATATTTGGACCACAAGGGGAACGGGTGAACTGGAACTCGCCAGGAGGGATGTGGCGAGCCATTATCATGCTCAACGGGTTAGAAATAACGACCATAGAAGCCGAACCGGTGGGCGAGATCATCTGGGATCAACTCCGGGGGCGCGGGCCGCAGGTCAACTTTATTTTGGAAAACGACGGACGTGATAGGGTGAACGCAACCACTCGACTAGGAACGACTGGGAGAAGGATTAACCGTGACACCGTGATAGAGGAGGTTGCTGGAAGTTCGGAACCCCAGGCAGAGCCTGAGGCCGAGGAATCGGAAATGGTCTATGGGAAACCTAGGGAAGAGAAGCCTACAGACAAAGTTACCGCTGCCAAGAAGAAGTTTATGTACCAAATCCCGATCTTATCCTTGCCTGAGATCGACAACACCATTAGCAAGTTACTAGGAACCATGGTGTCGGTGTCTTTTCAAACCATGCTGCAGGCTAGCCCTAGGTTGCTCAAAGGGCTTAGACAACTGTTGACTCGGCGGCGAGTAGAAATAGGCGACAACCCCATATTACCAGAAGGGGAGAGGGAGGAGGAAGCTCCGCAAGAAGTGGCTAACCTTCAGAGGAGTCACGGGGACTTGGAGGATCTCGAGAAAGCTTTTGCGGACATTCGTTTGAGTTTGCCCGACCGAGAGGGCGGCGAGGTCATGAGGTCACCACCCGGGACAAAGCTTAGCTTTCATGCACTGCCCATAGGGAAGCTGAAAATCCAGATCGGGACTCATCATACCGACACATTAGTAGACGGGGGAGCAGAAATCACTCTCATAAGAAGAGATTTCGCAACGATCACGGGATGTACGGTAAACAAGGAAGTAACAGGGAGCATCCGGGGAGCTGGCAGGGAAATCCCGTTCCCTGGGTATGTCACGAAGTGTGCTGTAAAGGCAGGAGTCAGGGAATTGATCTGGTCGTTTCAGCGGATGACCGTAATGGAGGAAATTGACCACGACATAATCCTCGGGAGACCGTGGTGCGCGAACGTGGAGATGATAGGCATGCACTTGCACGATGGCTCATACATGGTAGACATAGAGGACCCAGTGACCGGCTGGGGAGAGCTCCTCCGACTCCTTGGAATGGGAGGAGACCCCCCGAAGAGGAAATTGGCAACATGGTCACCGTCGTTCGAGGATAGCACGCGAAAAGGGGCTTTCGCACAGATGGAGGGTATGAGAGAAAGGGTAGAAATCATGATTGAGGAAGCATTCAACAAGAAGGAGTGGATCAAGATGGGCCTGCCCCAGAAGAAGAGGAGGCAGGAGGACGAAGTCCTAGGTGTTATGGTAGCAGAAAAGGAGTCAGAAGTCGAACTTGGTGCTAGCCTGCCTAGAAGGAAAGAAGTACGCATAGACGTGTCAGAAGTCGCACTCGAGATCTCCGATCTGTTACAACTCATCAAGGCTCTCAGATGCCACAAGGTAGGAGTGGACTCAACAGCCTTGGCCAATTTCGAAGGAGAGGTGCAAAAGGGATATTGCCTGAATGGGAAACTAGTTAGTATTCAACCACGAGTCGTAGAGGCGACGAAGGCAATTCCGACTGTTCACTTTTTAGGAGAAAGATCCCGAAAGGAAATGTTCGAAAGTACAAGCCGGTAGGGAAGAAAGCAAAATCGTTATCAATCCTGCTAGAGACATCAACGGAAGAGGCTATGGAGAAGAAGGAAGAGGTCCTTCGAGTAATCCGAGAAAGAAGGGTGACAGAGGGACATCAGATACCAGATGAGGTAGCTGACACAATGAAGATAGGGATAGACGGGTTCTTAACGGAAGAGGAAACCCACCTGATCAAAAGGACCTGCCAGGAGTTTCACCTGGCATTTGCCTTTAGTGATCACTATAAGGGACGATTGGATGCGAAGCTGATCCCTCCGGTCAGAATCCACACGGTAGAACATGAGTGCTGGAATGACAAAGGGTCGTCCTATGAATTTGGGATAGCAGGGGAAGTGACAGACCTCCTCCGAGCAAAAATTGACTCCTTCGTTGCGGAGCCTACGGCGTCGCCATACTCAAACCGGTGGTTCGTCTTTCGAAAGCCTAACAAGACACTAAGGTGGATTCAGGATCTGGAGAAGTTGAATGCGGTAACCATCCGGGATGCTGGCTCGCTACCTCAGGCTGACTTATTAGCAGAATCGCACGCCGGTCGGAGCATTTACTCCCTGATAGATCTGTACTCAGGGTACGACCAGCTTCCGTTGGATGTTCGGGACAGACCGTACACCGCTATAAACACCCCCGTAGGCCAGCTACAGATGCAAGTAACCCCTATGGGATTCACAAACGCGGTGGCCGAAGCGCAACGCAGAATGCTCGTCATGGTCGGGGACATGTTTCCAGAAAAGTGTGAGCCCTATATCGACGACAATCCGATCAAAGGTGCGCAGAAGAAGGACGAGACAAAAGTCCAACCAGGAATCCGAAAGTTTGTATGGGACCATCTAGAGGACATCGAGGACTTGCTCCGCCGGTTCCTAGTATACAACATCACGGCTAGTGGACCAAAGAGTATTCTAGAAGTACCAGAAGTAACCATACTAGGATTTTGCTGCGGTGCCTACGGTAGGAAGCTGAATCCAATGAAAACGGACAGGATATCGCAGTGGTCAACCCTCTTGCGCACTACAACGGAAGTGAGAGCATTCCTAGGCGTGGTCAGTTTCTGGAGGATCTTCATTAAGAATTTTGCCAAGATTGCGGAGCCTATCCGGGCTATGATCAGGGAGGAAGGAACCATGGGTTGGACGGAGGAGCGAGAAGGAGCAGTCCAGAAGCTTAAGGAGATATTGACATCTGAGACAGTCGCTCTGTCCGCAGCTTGTTTTAATGACGAAGCATGACGACCCTTCATCCTATGGACGGATGGAGGACATTTAGCCGTAGAGGGCGTGTTGATTCAAAGGGATGAGGGAGGAAAAGAGAGGCCGATTAGGTTCGAAAGTAGAACCCTGAACTCCGCAGAGCGGCGATACTCGCAGTTCAAGAAGGAGGTCCTAGCCATCTTGCACTGCCTTAAAACCTTTCAGGACTACCTATTTGGGAGGCGGTTCATCCTTAGGATCGATCCAACGAACGTTGTAGGGGCCCTAAAGAATTACAGGTCTATAGACCCGACGGTGGGGAGATGGGTAGGATTTATCTGGCAGCTCGACTACAAAATTGAACGAATTGCGGGAATTAGGAACAAGGCCGATGGGCTGAGCCGGGTCTGTATCACTCCCGAAGGGGTGAAGGGTGCTCGAATACGAAGGAGGGACTCTCGCGATGGATAACAAAATGATAAGCGAGGAATGCACATCGGGAGAACTATTGATCTAGACTTTGGAGAAGGGGGCACCTGCCGTAGTAGCAGAACTTAGAGAAGGACTAGTCACCACTCGAGGACGCAGAGAAGAAAAAGACTCATGGGGAGCGATAGTAGGACCGAAAGAGGAACTAATAGCAATGGCGGTCAAGGGATGCCAGGAAGCAGTGATGAGCTTAGTGGAATCTTGGGAAAGGAAAGAGTTGCAATGGGTGATGAACCAGATGCAGGAAGGAAAGGATGGGGGCCAGAAAGGGGAGGAGTTTTTCTATGTCCAATCATACGAAGGGCTCTTTCGGGAGATCGGGATGTTGCTGGTAGGCAACAAACAACCTACGGAAGTCAGTATTGAAGCGAGAGAAGAAGTTGAAAGGTACGTCCTAAGGGGCGGGCATTTGTTCCGAAGAGAGGAAGGTGTTATGCCCAGAAGGATTGTGTGCGGAAGATCTAGGCAAGTAGACGTTATCCAGGCAATGCACGACGGGTTAGCTGGGGTTCATCGGTCGTCCAAAGGAACGCTTGCAAAGATAACGCCACTCTATTATTGGCCAGGCATGGCAGGCATGGTCGCCATATACTGCCAGACTTGCCTTATTTACCAAGAACGAAGCTCGGTGCGGGTCTTCGAGCCGCTTAGACCAACGCGGGTGCTACGGTCGGGACATCTGGTCCACCTCGACCTTGCGGTTATGCCTGTATCAACGGATGGGTACAGGTATATCCTGGATGCGCGAGACAACTTGAGTGGGTTCGTAGGGCAGTCGCCCTCAAGAAAAAGACAGGGAGGAGTGTGGCAGACTGGATAGAAGACTTCTACTTGAGGCATCATTTTGTCAGGAGGTTTATAGCAGACAATGGGACGGAGTTTGTGAACCAAGAAGTATTGGGGATGCTTAAGAGACTTTGCGTACCGATCAAACTCATCGAGCCGTATCACCCTGAGGCCAGTGCACCTGTGGAAAGGGGGCAGGCACCGAACCTTGAAGAACACGATTGCGAAACTCGCAGCGGACCATCTGGGGAACTGGCCTAGGTATCTTAAGCAGGCTGTCTTTGCGGAGAATATGACCCCTAAAAGGACAACGGGATGTATCCCGGCGGAACTTTGGTACGGAAGAGAGATCGACTTTCCTGTGGAAGCCTTGGTACTTACCTGGAGTAGGTTAGATGATGATCCGCAAATGACTACTGAAGAGTTAATCGAGGCGAGATGTCAACAGATCCTTAAGAACGAGGAGGTCATGGAGGACATCGCCAACCGTATACTAGACAGCCGAATGAGGGACAAAGCAAGTAGATGATACCAAGTTAAGAATGTCAGAAAGGAGCCACTTCAAGTGGGAGAGATGATATTGCTAAGGAACTCGGCACTAGAAAGTACTTGGTCGGGACAACTGGGAAGAAGGTTTAAAGGCCCCTACCGGGTCGCCAAGCGGGTGGGACTGAACACCTTCGAACTGGAAAATTTGGATGGAACTGGATTGAAAGGGCCCTTCCCGGGGCAACGATTGGTCAGGTTTCTAAGCCGGGACCCAGTGGAACAATGGCTTCAAGAGGCCGAAGATAAGGAAACTGAGGAGCCACAAGCTAAAGATTGACCACAACCTTGCCCACACTATGGTTTGTCTTTGACCATGTCCATGGGACTGTCATTTTTTGGGGACTGGGGCAATGGCTTGAACTGACTGAGGTTGAAAGGCAGCATGACTTGGTGGTTTGCAATATCTAGCTTGTGCGACGACGGGAAGGGATGTTTGGGGCATTGTACCATAGTTTTGGACGGGAAAAAAAATGGGATCTTCACAAACGACGCTTTTGCATAAGGGAGGGAAATGTATAAAAGGGGCATAATGCGAAGGATACTGGGAGCATTTTTGGGAAAAGGGAGTTGTCTACCGAACTGGGGGGGGGGGGTGTATGCGGGGCATTGAGGGTGTTGTTTTGTTATACAGGACTTAGGAGAAAAACGAGAAAAGACAAAAAAATAGAATTCGGCAACGAGAACGACAGCGGGGCGATCTACAGGCCTATCGGAGGGGAGGAAACAGGACCAAGCCAAGGGAGGAGGGCGGCGAAGAGAAAGTTGTACATAGGACTCATGGGTGGGCCAGTGCTAGGCAGGGGTGGAAGGAAATGCTTGTGTAGGAAACCCTCACCCCTCCGCGAGGGCTGTCTCTTATACACATCTAGATGTGTATAAGAGACAGGTGCTAGGCAGGGGTGGAAGGAAATGCTTGTGTAGGAAACCCTCACCCCTCCGCGAGGGAGAAAGTATAGAAATCTCGTCTGACAGTGAGGGAGGAAAGAAAAAGGCAGCAGTGGAAGAAGGAGGCAATGCAGATTTGGGAGATAAGGTTCAGGTCTCTTTCGAGGAAGGAGCCAACAGGGGTAAACGAGGTGAGACTTGGCATGGGGAAAGCGAGGGGGGGACAAGACATACGTAACAAGCAAGAGGACGAAGGAGGCAATGCCGCTTATAGCGAACATGACCATCTCCCTCTCCCCCTCCCCCCACCCCCCCCCCCCCCCCCCCCCCCCCCCCCCCCCCCCGCCACACACACACACACACAGAGAGAGAGAGAGATGGGGAGAGGGTCTCCCCACATCACTTTTGAAATGTGAAAAAGACAAAAATGTGGTGGGTGCATCTGGCCATGTTCTAGCAAAAAGTTCATTCTCATTTTCCACATTTCGAGCAGTCGAGCAAGAAACGTCTCTCTCTCTCTCTCTCTCTCTCTCTCTCTCTCTCTCTCTCTCTCTCTCTCTCTCCCTCCCCCCTCCCCCCCCGGTGCACTCGTTAGATGCAGGAGTGAATGGGAGTTATAGCCTGAATGGAGGGGGAAGATTCAGCGATAGAATCACTTGGAGCGTTGTGCGTTCTTTTCGTTTTTCATTCCTTTTTTTTTCCGTTTTCATTCCTTTTTTTCGTTTTTGAGTGTTTCCTGTTGTGTGGTCATATTCGCTATACACTCAAAAAAACATGGTTGTGCCAAACTGTTTCATTGGACTTTCACCGACTCATCAGGACGCTGTGTAGTGTGTGTGTGAGAGAGAGAGAGGTGGAACTGGCAAAAGGTGCATCTGGTCTTCTAGCGGGAAGTTTATTCTCATTTTGCACATTTCGAGAGTGGTGTGAGGATGCCCTTCGCTCCATTTTTTTTTTTTTTTTTCTGATCCAGCCCAATTTCTTTTTTTCGTTTCTGTTTCTTTTTAATTTTACTGTTCGTAACGACCTCTCTCTNCTCTCTCTCTCTCTCTCTCTCTCTCTCTCTCTCTCTCTCTCTCTCTCTCTCTCTCTCTCTCTCTCTCTCGCTCGCTCGCTCGCTCGCTCC